TGTGCCGACGGGAAACAGCCCAGGAGCTCTGAGAGGAAAGAGGGGAGTTCCCTCCAGCATGGGCCCGGCCAGTCACCTACCCTGTTTCCTGGCTCCCTTGCAGAGGAGGCACAAGGCGGGGCTTCCTTTTGGCCGGCGACCTCGTTCAGTCGACAGGATAAGTCCTTGTGCAGAGCACGGGTCCCCCGAACCAAACCTCCCCCGGGCTGCTGGTGGGCAGGGTTCTCACTTGGGGCACAGCTGCTGGCACGGGTCGATGACCAGCCACCCGTCGTCGGGCGGATGCGTCGTCTCCAGCTGCTCGGCTGTCAGCGTTCCCGGAAATCCGGACTCATCACCTCCAGACGCCCGCCTGTGGGCCGAGCGACTCGTCCAGGACCTTATGGAATATTATTGGCCTTAATTGGTGTGCGATCATACGGTCTGCGTAGTTGAGGTAGCGGAGCGGCCGCGACGCCCGAGTCCAAGCCTACCCCGGCCGGACGCCCGAGTCCAAAGCCCCGTACCCCGCCGGACGCACCGGAGTCCAGCCCCTACCGCCGGACGCCGGATCAAGCGTACCCCGCGGACACCCCTGCCCAAGCCCCTACCCGCCGGACGCCGTGTCCAAGCCTTATTCCGCCGACCCCGGAGTCCAAGGCCCCTGCCCCCCGGGCCGGACATGCCCGAGTCCACCCCTAGCCCCGCCGGATGCCCAATGTCAAGCCCTACCCACGACGCCCGGAGTCCAAGGGCCCCCTACCCCGCCGGACGCCCGAGTCCAAGCCCCTACCCCGCCGGATGGCCGCGCCTCCCTGTTCCAGCTGCGCCCTCTGCCACTGGCTGCGCTGCACGATGTCCTGGTACTGCTGGGCCACGTCCGGGGGCACGGGCCGCCGTGCCTGCCTGAGGGCCAGGATCTAGAGAACGCAGAGGAGGCTGTCGGGCCCTGCCTGGGCCTGCAGAGCCCCCAGTCCTGCCCCGCGCGCAGTGGGGTGGCCGCTCACCTTCCGCTCCAGACGCTCCTGGTCGAAGGCCAGCACGCTGAGGCTGTGCAGGTTCCGGGCTGACCTAAGGGGCGGGGGAGGGATGAGGGGCTGCAGGGACTCCCTGCCCGACCCGGTTCATTCAGCGCACTGGGCGTGGCTGCAGCACCAGACACACGGTGTCGCGGAGCCCACAGCCCAGCCCAATCGGCTTTACTCAAACCGTCTACTGGAACTTAAATGTAACATCTCCATCCAAAAACACTCTCCCAGAAACAACCATCCAAAATATCGACATCGCCCAGCCTGGGACGATGGCGTTGAACTAAACCACCTGAGGCAACATCTGATAAACCATGCACTGGAGGTGGGCAGGGAAGTTTCTCAGTCTTAGTGGCCTCAGTTCCCGCGTTTACCTCAGAAGGATTCCGGTGATTCGGAGTGTTAGGAGACCAAGAAGAATAGAAGAGTGAAGTCAAGGTTCGCGATTGCCGCCAAGAGTGGTGTATGTGAGGAGGTGCACTGCAGGCACCGCGGCGCAAGCAGCAGACAACTCAGGAGGCCCCTAAGTGTATCATAACCTTATGCACAGCCGTGGATACCGTTCGCAAGTCTTTGGCTGAGAGGCTTCACGTATAGAAGGTAATGGCTAGAGAGAGAGAAAGCTGGCTCTATCGACATTGATAGAGATCACAAAGCAGAGCGCTCTTTAGATCGAATCCGAGAGTTTAAATCTGGGATCTCCAGGAGAAGAGGTGCCAGGAAAGGTTTGAGCAGGAAGGGGCCACATCCTCGCGATGCTGATAGGATGACGACCTTGACCACGGTGAACGCATAATTGACAGGCCCATGGTGGGTGCTAAGGAGGAAAAAGTTCCCTCCAGCATCGCCCTGGCCCAGGCGCTACACCTGCCTGTTTCCTGGCTCCCTTGAAGCGGCAGAGGTCGACCAGCGGGTCCTTACCCTAGTGTGCGGTTCGTCGTCGATCGCTCATGATCGATTCAGGTAAGTCCTGGATGCAGAGCATGGGCCCGAACAAACCTCCCCGGGTTGCTGGTGGCAGTTTTTCTCACTTGGCACAGCTGTCTAAGCAATGCCGCCATGATGGTTCGATGATCGACTGCCACCTTCTCCGTTCACGTGAAACAGCCCAGGAGGGGCTGAGAGGGAAAGAGGGGGTTCCCTCCAGCATGGCCCGGCCCAGTCACCTACCTGTTCCCTGGCTCCCTTGCAGAGGCAGGCACAGGCGGGGCCTTCCCTTTGGGCCCGGCGACCTGCTTCAGACGACAGGATAAGTCCTGATGCAGAGCACGGGTCCCCCGAACCAAACCTCCCCCCGGGGCTGCTGGTGGGCAGGGGTCTCACTGTGGGCACAGCTGCTGGCACGGGGTCGATGACCAGCCACCTCTCCGTCGTCGTCTCCAGCTGCTGGGCTGTCAGCGGTTCCCGAATCCGGACCATCACCTCCAGCCGCCCGCCTGTGGGCCGGCGACCGTCCAGGACCTGGTGGGGTGAGATCACGCTGCGGGTGGGAAGCGGGAGGTGGCTGCAGGCCCAGGGACGGGCCCAGGGTGACTTCCAAAGTATGAGCCCACGGGTATGGCTGGGACAGCTCTTGACCCTAACGGAGCAGGGTGCTGGAGTACTTAGCGCTGGGCAGCAGGACAGTGTGGGACTCTGGGTCTGCAGAGGGGCCCTTGGGGACTCAAGGCGGGCAGCGTTTGGAGAACTCGCGGCATGGCCCTGCTGGCGCGTGCGGATGATCGTCCCCCCTCACCTCAAGGACCTCCCGGACCTCGCACGCCGTCTCCAGGGCGTCCAGCTTCAGCTGTGCCGTGCCCAGCACCCGGTCGGTCTTGAACAGCCCCCTGTGTGTATGCGCGTGGGGTGGGGACAGCACGGTTGGGCCAGGACAGCGCCCCTTCCTGGAGCCCACCCACGCCCGTGGCGCCGGCTCACCCCTTGTGGACCACTTCGAACTTGATGCCTTTGGTCTGGATGGCCCGGCGGAAGCCGCGGTGGCCGCGGTTGATGCAGAGTTTGAACTGCTCCTTGAACTCTGCGGGGGGGAAGGAGGGGGCGGGAGAGGGAGTTGGGTGGATTGAGACCACGGCCGCCCACTCCTGCTCCTGCCGGGGGTGGGGGCTCACCGGGGGAGTCTGTGTTCTTGATCACACCGGTCTTGTCTTTCTGAGCTTCTTCCTGGGAGCAGAGAGGAGGCGGGGACTCTCAGGGGCCCGGGCCTGGCCTCGAACCCCCTCCGTCTGACTCGCCTCCTCGCCCACTGGGGCTCAGCCCTGCCCTCCCCAGCCCCCCACGTACCACATTGGGATAGGGGAAGTCAAACCGAACAAAGACATCCAGGTCGCCAGGGGACAGCCCTGTGGGCAAGAGAGGGTCAGAGCTGGGCAGAGGGTGGTCCCCGCGACCCTGACCCCAGCCCGCAGCCCCCTCACCTGCGGGCGTGGGCAAGTTGATGCCCTTCACGATGAACAGGAGCATGTCGTTGCTGCTGAGGTCAGGGAAGATCCTTCCGTGCAGGCGGTGGGCAGGGAGACAGGGACCTCAGCTCCACTGCCCGCCTGCCTTCTCCTCCCTCAGTTGGGGGCGGGGGGACAGACCCCACCCTGGTCTTGGGGGATGTCCCAGCTCCTGGACCCCAGTTTTAGAGTCAGACAGACTAGAGTTCTCTGTTCAGGTCTGCCATTGGAGCCTTTCTTTCGTCTGCATGCGTTCATTTGGTACCTACTATGCGCCCACCAGTGGCCTCACTGCTGGGGGACCTTCCCTTCACTGAACAGTATTTCTTGGGCACCTACTGTGTGCTGGCCAGTGCCCTAACAGCTGCAGGACCATCCCTTTGCTCAATATTTCTTGAGTACCTACTGTGCGCCAGCCAGTGGCCTTGCTACTGGGGGACCACCACGTCCCTTGCTAGTTCTTAAGTGCTATTAAGCAGCAGACAGTGTCCTCGCTGCTGAGGGAACTTCCTTTCATTTAAGGACACTTTTGGAACACCTACTATGCGCCAGCCTTGCCGCTGGGGCTGTAGGAGTAAGTGAGGCAGCCCAGGTCCCTGTGCTCAGTCTGGCTGAGCGGGCCGATGACCACAGATACACAAATGGGGAAAAACAGAACGACTTCGTAGAGAATTCAAACAGGGGAGAGAACGGAACATGCTGGCAGGGGCTGCTTTAGACGGGGTGGCCGGGGAGGGCCTCTCAAAGGGGAGGTGACATTGTAGGTGACTCTGAATGTCAAGAAGGCATTACCACGTGCCGGGTGGGGATGTGCTTGGTGCGTGTGAGGGACGGGAAGGGGTTTCGTGCAGCAGGAGCTGAGTGGACGTGGGGCAGCTGGGGCAAGCGGCGTGGGTCAGCCCAGGGGCGGCTGCACCTCGCCTCATCTAGACAGTGGAGAAGGTGATCTCCACTCCTCAGGGCATAGAAAGACTTAACAGGAGCAAGACCAACAACCACCAAAACTGTACCATGTCTCTGGGCTCCCTCGTCCCCAAAAGTGGTTCCAAATGTGTCACTGTTACTGCCACCTTCACCATCCTGCACTCGCAACCTCATGCCTGCCCCGGGGCCTTTGCATGTTCTATTCTCTCACCACCCGCCCAAACTTTGCTTCGGAGGCAAGTCCTGTGCTGGCTTGCGGGGAGCGTGAACCCCTCCCCAAAGGGGTGTCCTCTGGGCCGGAGGGCCATCAGAGCCTTACTTGATGACGCTGAAGGTCCTCTGCTCAAAGCGGGCGGCAGGTGTGGGGAGACCCCGGGCGAAGGCTTGCTTCAGGGTGTCCATGCTTCGCTTACAGTCCTCCGCCAGCTTCTCGAACCTGCCAGCGAGGGGGCTCTGCTCAGGGCCCTGGCCGCAGGGGTGGGCTGGGGGTGCAGAGGTCTGGCGGGGGTGGGGCACTTACTTGCTGGTTTCACCGATGTTGCCCAGGTGGGTGAATTGGTTAGAGTGGTTCAGGCACATCTGGGGGAACAGAGGGGACAGTGCGGGGAGGAGAGTAAGGGTCATGACCCCGGGGGCACAGCTGACTGTCCCGGGTTGGGGGCCCACTCACCTCATGCTGCTGCCTTATCAGCTTGGTGAGGTCACCGTAGCGCCGGATGGCCTCCTGAGACAGGCCGGGGCCAGGCCGCTGGACCAGGGCAAAGTCGTCCTTGTTGACGGGGGCAGGTGGCACCTGGGGAGGTCGAGGCTTGTGGGCAGGGCCCACTGGGGACTCTGCGGAAATGTCACCTCTCCTTGGGGAGGCCTTCCCTGACCACGACTCCGTCCGCTGCCCCCCTACTCTTCCCTCTTGGTCCTTCCGCTGTCCAACGTCACAAGATCACCCCTCAGTCATCCAAGAAATCATGTATGGAGTCCTACTACGCTCCGGACTCTTCTGGGGCTGGGGGACACAGCAGTGAACAAGAGAGACCAAGACGCCTGCCGTCGTGGGGCTGATGTGCTCTTGGGGGAAATGGGTGATATTCAGAAGAAATCGGTGAATCACGTGCTAGAGTAGGTGATAATGGTGACAGGAAAAGCAGACTTGGGAGGAGGCGCAGAAGGTTCCAGGTTAAAGGGAGGGATTTGAAATAGGAGGTCAGGGGAGGCCTCCCAGAGATGGTGACGTTTGAGCAGACACCTAACAAGGGGAGCAAGTGAGCCAATCAGGTATCGGGGGGGAGAGTGTTTGGGCAGCAGGGACAGCATGTGCAAGGGCCCTGAGGTCACACTGTGACGAGGAAGTGATGAGCAGATCGTGCAGGGCCTGTGGGCCACGAGAAGGAGCTGTGTTCGTTTGTGTGTTCCTGTGGTTGCCTAACTAGAATGTCCACTCTATGAGGGTGGGGATTTTTATGTTCTGTTCGAGACTATGTCCCCAGTGCTCAGCACAGGGCTGGACACTGGGTATGTGCTGCGTAAATATTTCCTATTATGGATGCTGCTCCATGGCATGAGATATCCTGGCTGTTTTGTTGTTGTTGTTTTTAAGCATCAGGGTCTCACTCTGTCACCCAGGCTGCAGTGCGGTGGTGCAATCAAAGCTCACTGCAGCCTCCAACTCCTCACCCCAAGTGGTCCTCCCATCTTGGCCTCTGAGAGTGCTGGGATTATAGGCAAGAGCCACCACACCCAACCTCTCATAGGTGTTCTTCTTAGAGGTGGGGACCACTGTCCCCAACTCCCCAAGGAGGAAAATGATACTCAGAAAGAAGTGAATGGTCCTACCCAAAGTGGCAGAATGTTAATGTCTCCCCAAATCTGATCCCTTCTCTGGTGGGACACATGGCGGCCCAGCAAGAAACTACATGTCCCAGACTCCCTTGCAGCTAGTGTGGCCATGTGACTTTGTTCTGGCCAATGAGAGACAAGTAAGTGATGTCACTTCCTTTAAAGGAAACCACTGCCTTTCTTTCTCGCAGGAAGCTCTGCCTTTCTTTCTCACATCCCTTCTCAAGGGGCTGGATAAGATCCACTTAGATCATGTGAACCAAGATGACCTCCTAAGGTGCAGCAGAGCAATAAGATGGAAAGAACCTGGGCCCTAAAGGACCTCCTGTTGCAGAGCCCAGACTGTCCTGAGTGTTACTTGCAAGAAATGTTAAATGTTTGTCTCATTTCGGGCTTAGGGGGGCCTATTTGTTACAGCATCTTAGCCTGGCCCATGACTGATACATTCCAGGTCACGTGGCTGCTGATGGGCTGGAGCCTGACCGGCGGGTGCCTGGGCAGTTCCCGCAGAGGGCTGGGAGATTCACCTTGGTGATATCCACGGGCAGCCCGTTGCGCGAGGCCTCCAGCATGGGCTCCAGCCCCTTGGCCTGGCGCAGGTGCATCTTGGCGCCTTCCACGTCGTTTTTCTGCTTGGCTCTCAGCGCGGCCTGTAGCAGCTGCTTCTTACGGCCCTCCAGGAAGGCCAGCTGCTGCTGGGCTGTAGCAGAGGGGCCTGTGTGGGTGCTGCCGGGCCCACGGCCAGGAATCAGGCAGCCAGCGTGCAGAGGGGGCACCTACCTCTGGTGGATGTGCCTTTGGGGGCTGCTTTGGCTGCAGTGGCTGGTCCTGACTGTGGAGCCCTGGAGGGTGGGGCCTTGGGCTGGACCGTGGGGGCCGCAGGGCTGTTCTGCTGCTGGCGGAACAGAGAGGACATCAGAGATTCCCTAACGCCTGCGATGAGTCCACTCCCCAAGGGTCAGGGCCCGACGCTGACCACAATGGCCACCTTAATGGATCCCTAGAATTCACTTGGCTGCTGTCCCCTGCTTCAGCCCAAGGCCCCAGTCTCTCATACCTTCTTAGGCACCTCATCCTCTTCATCCTCTGGGCCTTCGTCCTGGTTGGCCAGCTTCATGGCGGTCTCCAGGACACCCACCAGGCTCGGCTGGGCAGGCTCGGTGGCCTCCAGGCCCTGGATGGGGGGAAAGCCTGGGCGGCCGGTCGGGGCCCGGTCAGGAAGGAGAGCACTGATGCCATTAGGGCAGACATGCATTCCTCCCCGACCTCTGGAGTGGATTTTATTTTTCAATTTTTTAATTGAGACAGAGTCGTGCTTTATTGCCCTGGGTGGAGTGCAATGGTGTCATCATAGCTCACTGCAACCTCCAACTCCTGGGCTCAAGCGATCCTCCTGCCTGAGCCTCCCAAAGTGCTGGGATTACAGGTGTGCGCCACCACACCCAGCCATCTTGGGCCTTTAAATCTACTTGGAAACCAAGGATGGAGCTGCTGCTGGTCCTGTGTAGATACCAGGCCGTTCCCAACCGCCCTCGTGCCTCTCGGCTTCTCCTGCCTGATCCCAGGCCTTGACAAGGCCTGCGGTGTCCATGTGAGGTGGTGCACTGGGCACTGGGCCTGGAGGGCTCTCAGAGCACCAAGATGCAGAGAGATAACTGTTCTCACGGAGGCTGCACAAGCAGCTCTGAGAACTCAGAGGAGGAGGAGGCCTTCGGCCCACTGGGAGCTGATGGGACGCTAAGCAAGTGTCTGCAGAGCTGAAACCTGAAGACTGAGTGAGTCAAACAAAGATGAAAAAGGCAGCGGTGGGCTGGTAACAGGCTCTCAAAACCGGCCCCTGATTTTTAGAGTGTGCCCATTCCCATGGTGTAAATGCTTCTGTTATGACCAATGTCCAGCTACCCATTGTTTAACAAGCTTGCAAAACTGCCCCGTGTGTAGCAGCCAGCTCCCTGAGCCTGTGCCATCAGAAGGAACAGCATCTGCAAAGGGTCAGAGGCAGGCAGGGCAGGAGCCGGGAGTGGGGCCTTACCTGGGGGCACAGGCAGCTCGGCCACATCCACGGCTCGGCCAGCCTTGTGGGCCCGGATGGCGTCTTGGTATTGCTGTGGGGGACGCAGGTGTTAGGGGGACGCAGGTGCTACCTGGGGGAGGTCTCTGGGGGCTTCCCGCCCGCCCGCCCGGCGCCCTCGCACCTTGACGATGCGCTCGTGCATGCGAGCCTTCCGCGGGTCCCCCTTGCTTTTGGCCTGGGCCGCGGCCGCGTGGTAGCGCTCCATCCGCTGCTCCAGCGCCTCCAGCAGGGTCCTCGGGGCCGGGGGGACCTCTGGGCCGGACAGGGGGCAGGGTTAAGAGTCGAGGGAAAGGGAGACTGTCTGGCGGCAGCCTGCCCACCCCGGAGGGCCCTGGGCGTCTACCTGGCGTGGTGGGTGCCGTGGCAGGAGTCGGAGGCTGTGCGGCTGGTGACGGTGGGTCTGGGGGCAGCTGGTCTGGGGACAGAGAGGTCCAGTCCGATGAGGGGCTTTGCTTGCCCACACCCGCCCCAGGCTGATCTGGCCCGAGGAGGTCTCTGGGCCTGACCGATGCGGGCAGCAGCACCAGGGAGAACTTCGTGGATGCCTCAAACCGTCCCGGAGGGTGGGCAGGACGGGGTCCTCACCAGGTGGAGGGGGCAGGCGGGACAGGTCCACGGGCTCCCCGCGGCTCAGGGCCTCCAAGATGGCATCGAAGCTCTGGGAGAAGGAAGGAGATCAGGGCAGGAGGTTGCAGCCGGGGGCCGGGACCCTGTAGCAGCCCCCTGTGCCCAGCCAAGCCATGGAGGACTCCTAGCTCTATCCCTTTTTTTGCTTCATCTTGCTCAATCCTCTTCCTACAATAATGCCCATTTCACAGAGAGGGAAACTGAGGCTCCAGGGGGTACACCAAACTATAGCTAGGGAATGACCAAGCTGGGATTCAAATTTGGTTCTGCTTGACTCAGGAGCCCATGGACTTGGCCACCAAGCAATGTTGGGGGCAGCCTGCTTGCCCCCACACCGCCCCATAGGGCTGTCTGGACGCACCTTGGCCACGCGGAAGTATCTGGTGGCGGCAGCCATATCTCCCTGCTGCTTGGCGTGGAGGGCAGCCAGCTTGTACTCGTGCTGGCGGCTCTGCAGCTGGGCCAGGGGGCTGGGGCTGCAGGGACCTGGAAGGGGGAACAGCACACAGGAAGCCTCTGTTGCCTGGCCAACTTCACCACGTAGACCATTTCTATTTACAACTCACAACAAAGACTGGGGTTGGGGCCATTTTACAGATATGAGAACTGAGGCTCAGAGAGGGGATGTTGCTCCTCCAAAGCCACACAGCCTACAGACGGCATGGCAAGGACTCACCTCCCCAGGCCTGGCAGGCTCTAAAGCCACTGCTGTTTTGTCCCCAAGATAATTTGGGAAAACTTTATTTATGCAGCCTTCCATGCTTTTAACTTGATGTCTGTCATTTTTCATTTTGTGTTTAAAAAGTGGGCCGGGCGAGGTGGCTCACGCCTGTAATCCTAGCACTCTGGGAGGCCGAGGCGGGTAGATGGCTCGAGGTCAGGAGTCCGAAACCAGCCTGAGCAAGAGCAAGACCCCCGTCTCTACTATAAATAGAAAGAAATTAATCGCCCAGGCTAAGAGTGAGTGCTGTGTGTCAGCTAGGCTCACAGCAACCTCAAACTCCCTGGGGCTCAAGCATCCTCCTCGCCTCAGGCCTCCCCGAGTAGCTTGGACTTACAGGCACGCGCCAC